GGTGCCTGGAGCCGGCCCTGAGTGGACCATAGCCTTTTGTTCTCTCTCGCTCAGTCCTCCTCTGTCAGGGCTGCACACTCCCTCCTCTTTTATTGCCATTCGAACAAAAGGGTCTTTTTCTCACACTTTGGCAATACCTGCATAGCTTGTCATGGCAATAAAAGTCTCACTGAAGTGACTAAACCACACGCTTTTGCCATGAGCGGTTTTTGTTTCCGATAGACACTAGCGCCCTCTTGTGCTTCAAACGGGCAATGCCAGTTACTTGTTCCTAACTGTTTATAGGATCCTAGGAGGAAAACCAGCTTGACTAAAGAATAAATTTGCATTTCAAAGATCAGCATGGTAGATGGGTGGGCCTGCAGGACACTGTTTTGATAGCACAGTGAGGAGGCAACAGATCATCAGTCAGGGCTATAGCCTCAGGATTTTCCCTTGTTCCAGAGGAGCATTAAAATCTTGCTGTTGTAGTTGAAGCTGGTCAAAAAATACCTTTTTAATTTAAAGTTCACTTGTGTCAAAATTTCTCAACTGAATGTTGGGTTTGTTTTATGAAAAAAATGTAACTAAACAATTCAATTTTCAAAAACTGAAAGTGTTTACTAAAAAGTTCGCAGTTCCCGGTTTGTCATTGAAAATGATTTTTTTCCATAAAAGATTTTTTCATTAAAACCATGTTTTTTTGACACACACATTAAAAATTGACCAGATGGAGCTTCAGTGATGTGTGGGTCTGCAGTTATACCTCGGGGAATACTGCTATGTTGTTTTCAACTGTATTGCTTATCACTAACTCCTGGCCTCACAGCAGAATTAGGGTGACCAGATGTCCCGATTTTATAGGGACTGTCCCGATTTTGGGGTGTTTTTCTTATATAGACTCATTATCCCCCACTCTCGTCCTGATTTGTCACACTTGCTGTCTGGTCACCTTAGAGCACCAAGACCCTTCCACCAAAAGTCTCATGTTCCCCTGAAAGTGACTTACCTCACGGAGGTGAATATTTCTTCACCTGTCGCTTCCTTGGAATTGAGGTGTGGAGGAATTGCTTCTGCACTCAAAGGTCTCTTGTGCAGTGCTGCCAAGCGCCCTCACCTTGAAAAGTCTCTAGATGGTGCAAAAAAAAAAAAAAAGGTTTTGAGTTAAGTGCTGGGAGTGGTGGAGAGAGCTTGTGGAAGCATTATGGGTACTGCATGGCTGAAGGTTGGGCAAGAGGCTGTGTAGAAGACAGGGTTATGGGTGCCAAGGGGGTAGCGTCAAGAGCTCTATAAATGCCAGAAAAGTGGTGCTGGGTGCCTGGGAGAAGCAGGGTGCTGGGGGATGAAGGGAGCTCTGGGGGCTGGGTGTCTAGAGGGAGGCAAGGGGCTGGTAGATGCTGGGTGTCCAGGGAGATGCAGGGGGCTGGATTGTGGGTGTCTGGAGGAGGCAGGAGCTCCTGGTTCACTCTCACCCATCACCTCCTCCCAGTGCATGGCAAACTGGGATTAGCAAGGAAGCTGAAAGCTGGGGAACTGCATACACAGCTGGCTGCAACAGGAGCCAGGGAACTGCATCTGAACAGGCTGTGACTGGTGGATGTCACAACCAGGTTCAGGTCTATGCAGAACGTGTGAGGAAGCAGCAGAGACTGGGCAGAGTGCTGTCACAGAGGAGCCCCAAGGAGACACACCACTTACTGATCCTGGCCTGGAAACCTGCAAGCTCCTATTTCCTTTTAGAACTACACCTGAGGAGTCCCTACCCTCTATTGGGCTGTCCTCCTCCAGGATCCACATAGGCACTACTATTGTTTTACTTTATATTGCTACTGTACCTCAGATATTTGCAACATTCCTTTTTCTGCCAGCCATAGTAAAATACTCCTTCACTTACCCACAGGTCTGAGTGGAATGCTCTAAGGCTATGGCCTAGCCTCTGAAGCACTTCCTGTGTTTGCCTCAAAGTCATGGTACACTTTGTACGCTATTAGTACCTTAGAGGTTTGGTCAGGTGTATCTATATAATAAGATTCCAGGATTGTCACTCTGAAGTCTAGAATGTCTGTTGAGTTAGCATGAAGCAGAGGAAACTGCTCCAGGTATAGCTGAGAGCTCTTTGTTCAGAATATCATCAGGTTCAATCATCACTGGGATTCACAGTGTTACCATCCAATTTTTAAGTTCACAGCCTACACCTATGCGACAGCAAGCTATGTAGCTATGCCATGCGGAAAGTCTCAGACCACTCTGATATCAGAAGTAACTCAAACAATCACCACCCTTACTGCTACAGCTAATTTGCATGGAAGTTTGTATGAGCAAGACTGCACAAATGGTGGATTACTTGGCCAAACTACCAGTTCTTCAAAACCACCCACAACAATGTAACCAGCATACTCATAATCCCAAATGCACATAGCCCCTCCCCACTGCGCACACAGCTCTCCCAGCACAACACAACCCACGCACAAATCAACACAACAATAACCACAAACATCTGAAGCCTAGAATAGCTGTTGAGTCACTGTGAAGTGATAGAAACAGATACAAGCATAGTTGAAAGTTATTTTAGTTGAGAGTATCACGGGGTTCAATCACCACGGGGATTCAGAGTCTGTTATAATACAATTTCTCAGACAATTTTGGCTTTAAAAAAAAAAAAAAAAAAAAACTAAAAAACTAAAGCCACAGCTATTAATTCTGTCCATGCAACATCACGGGCTTTCAGCAACTAGTCATTACAATACTTCCCTACTTCACAGGGAAGTACTGTATATGTTGTGAGGATATATTTATTAAATGTTTGCAAGATGCTCAGATCCTACAGTGATGAATCCCATAGAAAAGTCTACCTCTTCAAAGAAGTGGACAAACATCAACTAATACTGACAACTTCACACTGCGGAAGGTCAACAACACTTATTGGCCAATGCACCACAGCAGACAAATACAACACTGTGGTCTGGCAGATGGAAGAAAATTGGAGATGGCAGAGGCCTTCTGAGAAGTTTAATGTGGAACTAGAGAATCCCAATATGGAAAAAAATCATTTTGGGAAAACTCAGTTTAGAACTAAGAAAAGAGAAAGGAAATAAAATATTTCTGGGGGTAAAGAGAAAAACCTGGGGAGGAAACGATAAAATAAGTACAGTAGATATTACAGAAAGATGAGACAAGTCTTTAAAAAAATCTCAATCATGAGATTAGGGATGTTACTGTACAACAAGAAGTGGTCAGAGGGAAACCAAAAATATAAAGAAATACGGCAGCTTAATAACTCATGGGGTGCACAGAAGTTAGCAGGAAATGAATTTGCCAGAGAACCTACAGCAAACCACTCAAAAAGGGGGAAATTTGAGCAGCCACTAAGCTATTGGCACCTCTTCAAATGACTTATTTTTGTCCTCAGAGAGAATGCAAATTTTGTAATAAAAAAAATTAAATGCAATTCATGCTCTGAGGAAAGACAGGTTCCTTACACATGGCAGCTAGTCAAGTATCAGGGGGTAGCCGTGTTAGTTGTTTTTGTAGATACAGACAAGGAGTCTGGTGGCACCTTAAAGACTAACAGATTTATTTGGGCATAAGCTTTCGTGGGTGAAAACCTCACTTCTTCGGATGCATAGAGTGAAAGTTACAGATGCAGGCATTATATACTGACACATGGAGAGCAGGGAGTTACTTCGCAAGTGGAGAACCAGTGTTGACAGGGCCAATTCAATCAGGGTGGATGTAGTCCACTCCCAATAATAGATGAGGAGGTGTCAATTCCACGAGAGGAAAAGCTGCTTCTGTAATGAACCAGCCACTCCCAGTCCCTATTCAAGCCCCGATTAATGGTGTTAAATTTGCAAATGAATTTTAGTTCTGCTGTTTCTCTTTGAAGTCTGTTTCTGAAGTTTTTTTGTTCAGTGATAGTGACTTTTAAATCTGTAATAGAATGACCAGGGAGATTGAAGTGTTCACTTACTGGCTTATGTATGTTACCATTCCTGATGTCTGATTTGTGTCCATTTATTCTTTTGCGGCGGGACTGTCCGGTTTGGCCAATGTACATGGCAGAGGGGCATTGCTGGCACATGATGGCATATATAACATTAGTGGATGTGCAGGAGAATGAGCCCTTGATGGTGTGGCTGATGTGGTTGGGTCATCTGATGGTGTCGCCAGAGTAGATATGGGGACAGAGTAGGCAACGAGGTTTGCTACAGGGATTGGTTCCTGGGTTGGTGTTTCTGTGGTGTGGTGTGGTGTGTAGTTGCTGGTGAGTATTTGCTTCAGGTTGGGGGGTTGTCTGTAAGCGAGGACTGGCCTGCCTCCCAAGGTCTGTGAGAGTGAGGGATCATTTTCCAGGATAGGTTGTAGATCGTGGATAATGCGCTGGAGAGGTTTTAGCTGGGGGCTGTATGTGATGGCCAGTGGTGTTCTGTTATTGTCCTTGTGGGGCCTGTCCTGCAGTAGGTGATTTCTAGCTAATACACCAGCACCCAGATGCTACAGGAAAGACGGTTCTTTAGAAATGCTCTGAGTTCGCTTCTGGTGGGTGGCAGCTGATATCAGGATGGGGAGATGGTCCTCACACCACTGGGAATCTTCCACAAGCTCTGGTTCCTGGAGCAACAACTATCATATCCACAATCATCTAGAACCAACGCTCTTGTAGAGTCTAATTTGTACATTTAGGCCCTGATTCAATACCCATCCATCTTTCTACTGATTTTAACCAGAGTTAGACTGGATCCTGAAAACAAGACATAGATGGATTTGGAAACACTGCCATTGTAAAAAAGCTTACTCTCTTCCTGCCAGTCCCCACTGATAAAAACAGTTACTTTAATGATTTGGCTAATGAGTTTTAACTTGTGGGGGCTCTGGTTTAATACATACAGTGCAGAAATCCTCATCGGCAAGTCAAAAAACATTTCTTCAACCCAAATGCCTCTGGAAATAACGTTATTTACATAGACACCGTGAATAGCACTGTAAATCCATTCAAGTCTGTTTTTCTATCCATCCTTTATTACAAGTGTACATATATTTATATATATTTAAATTTTTAAAAATAAAGATTCCTTTCATGGAAAGGAGAAACTTTTGCCATTAAAATAGAGTGACTTATACCATGAGTATATTACAGCTGTACAAACATCGGCAGCTGGTTTCATAACATCATAGATAAAATGCTTATTTTTACCCCCTACCACAACTAATCCAAAAACAAATAATAAAGTAGAACTTCTAGACTCAAAGATAACAAAGTACATTACTAGTCAAAACAGTAGTGTCACATGAATACAAAAAGATTGCATAATAGATATTCACAGTGTTTGTAAGATATAGAGCGTGTCACTCTCAATCTACACAGAAAACGGGTCTATTCTGCCTTTCATATGCATACATCAGTATCAATATGAGCTGCATGTACCAACAGGATAAGACTGCCCAAAGTTTGGAGAGTTTTCTCTCCGCACCAACTACAATAAATAAATATATACATATATTTACACACAACCAGCAATTGCATGCAATGGATACACATGCAAGAACTACTTTAACTTTTAGGCATTGGTGTTCCACCTCGTTTGTAAATCAGAGTCACAAACTTAGCACTTTAAAATAGTGGCAGCAATAATTTAAAAATTGTAGAGAGAGAGTGAGTTTTCACATCACCTTGGAATTGTGGGTCTTTTTGTTTGTTTCTAACATGCACAAAAATCAGTGATAAAAAACTTAACTTCACTGTTTGGTGACAGTGATCAGACTGGCACTTTAAAAAAAAAAGTAGTCAACACTTCAGTCTATTAGACTATAGCAAATATCCAAATGTTAAAGGTAATTTATTTATAGAAAAGAGTGAGCGAGCATGCAGCACATAAAAATTTTTCCCCAAAGAACTTCTAGAAAAAAATACTTTGCTGGATTTTTACCCTCCACCTCCCCAAAATGAAAGTGAGAGTCTTAACAATAGAAGATTTCCTGGAAGAATTGTATTAGAATGGGTGAGTGATTGAGTGAATTTAGCATTCGAGTGACAGCACTGTAGGCTGAAGTCCTCTCTTTAGATAGAATAGACCTACAGCATGGACAGCAAAAGCAGCCCCAGACCCCCACCAGCATTTCTCAACTCTGAGGTGGTCCCTCCAAGTTGAGGAGTGAAAAGGTAAGTTCAGTCTCCATGGAATGAGGTCACTTGTCTGCATGATCCTGGATGAACCCACTTTCCCCAACTCATTTTACATGCTGTTCAATAGGCCTTTAATGGTTGCAACTTTTGGTCACTACCAAACTGGGGCTGGATTTGACTGATAATGTACGAGTTAAAAGCTCTATAGCTGTCTAGACTCAAAGTAAAAATAATGAAGTATGATGTAGAGGGGTTTTGCGCTTTGCTTTGGATAGTCAAAGTAAACCGATTAACTCAGCATAATACAAATCATTCTAAAGCATTACAAAGTAATAATAGCAATACCAGTGGAATAAACCACGGTTATAGGTGACTGATAGGCAGAGACACACTATCAAAAAATACATATTGGGGTCAGTATTGCATCTATTCGACTCAAAAAATGTATTCAATGACATTACATTAGTGGATGCAGGATCTGGCACATGGACACAGTGCTGAGAATGGGGAAATCTCAAACGGTCAAGTTCTACAGTTCTTGAGTTCAACAAGACTCCCAGTGACTTCATAGGGAGTTTTGCTCCATCAAGGACTGACCCAAGGTATGGAGTTCCAGAGTTACCAGTAAACCATGAAGATTCTCATACACATAGCAAGTACAACAGACTTTTACTCATGCACTCAAGCAGCCACCAGCTCAAATATGTTCTAGACATTTTCTGACCAAAAATAGAGAAAAAAATTGTTTTTTATAAAATGTGTCTTGATAATGAAAATATGTTGAGTCAGACAGAATGACATATTGAGAGCATGCTACATAGCTGCTTTTGTGCATCTTAAGTTTAAGACCACTTCCTTGTCAGAACAACAAAGGATGACTGAAAAATGAAGACAACACCAACAATCCTAACCTCATGTACAGTAAGTTAAATGTCATCTAACACAATAGGATAACTGACATTTTCAACAGAGCAATGTTTGATGCAGCTGCTGTTGTGAGATATAGCTATCTGCATGGAAATCTTGTACCATAACTGAGATCATGGGGTTTCTGGCTTGGTTATTTTAATAGTTCACTTGCAATGCAACTGTCCAACTGACTGCTGCCTAAGATGGTAATACAATGCAGTTTTCCATTTGTGCTGGGTTCACAGTGAGCATCTTCCTCTTAAAAGGCCCAGCAAACTGACTTTCAAAACTGCAATGACAATTTTAACTGTGGTCTGACTGCAGCTTACATGCATTCAACTATTTTCAACTCTTTAGTGCAGCAAGATTGATACTGCAAGAGGACATTTTGCATTCATTGTGCTTTATTTTCTAAAATAATTATTCTTTGCTGAGGGGATGTATGGAACATTGATTCGTTACATCATTTCTCTCCATTCGCCACGATGCAAACTGGCGATGGGGTTATAGGTGGTTGTGTCATTCTCTTTTCCCCTAAGTACTGCAGGTGGGAAAAAAAGGGGAAAACAACATAGCATCACTTTTGTGAATGAAGGCAGAAAGCATCTCATCTCCAGACCTAATATGAGCACTTTTTATCGTATAGTACCAACGCATGTATCCTTTCACAGAACACTGGCACAGCTCCATAGCACTAAAAAAAAACCAAATCCACATACCACTACCTTTGATACAGAAACAACCACAAATATATATCATCAGGTGCCTTACAGTCTCATCCTTCACCAGCTGAATGCCCCAATCAAAACCAAAACTGGGCATCATCCCTAATAACTACTCTAGCCATCCCCTGAAATCTATTTTCTCCATGTTCCGCCTCCAAAACTCTGAGGGTGAATTCATATGGAATTGAGTTGTTTTTTAAAAAGTGCTCTGATTCAAGTAGAAGCCATCATCCTTGAACAACTTCTCCAGTCACACTTCTTCCTGAAAAGCCAATCAATTAGCACTTTCGTCATGACTTCCTCAAAATCCAAACTGCTGGAAGCAGCTGAGTCATCCTGTTATTTTCCAAACAATAACGAGGATGAAGACTGTATCTAGGGATCAATAGTGAAGGTTTGTGGCTATAGTTAGTGTCCAGTGGTTCCCACTTCGTTGCTCTAAAACGCAGTTTAAAAAAACAGCAGTACAATTGCTGGTATGTTTTTGGTTTGGTGGGGGAGGGAACCTAGAAACAAACCCACAGTGGGGCAGATCCTGCTCCTAGTGAAGCCAACAGTGAAGCTTCCATTGATTTCAAAGGGAGCAGGACAGGTATAGATATTACAGAGCTGCAGAAGGTCCATCCCCATTGCTGATAATCTGAGATATGTTCTATCAGAAAACTGACAGTTGACAGCAGGTGCCTCAGTAGAGTGAATTCAAGGGGACCAACACACTGGATTAGTGTAACATTATGGGCACAAAAGGTCAGGAAATAGGTGGCTTTAAAAAAAAATAATCAATGTGGAATCTGTAGTTCCTTTCAGGTAAGTCAATTCAGATGTGCTCTCTGTGCTATTAGCTTATTAGGTGTTTTGGGCCAACTGCCCACTGGTATTTTAAATAAAAAAAATTGTCTATTCTATTGGGGCAGTCCACTTTAACTGTGCGCTGGGTAGAGGACAGATATTCCAATGCCAGTATTTTTCTTTTTAATTAAAGTGCTGCCCTGTAATAAACTTGCACTTTTGTCAGGTTTGTTGGGTTGTGACACTACTTATACATCCCTTAATAGGGTACAAAAGTCATTTACCAATCACCTCCGAGATCAAAAGCAATGTATCGTGCATTGATGAGGTATATATAGTAGCTTTTATTTCCCTAATGAGCCATCTCCTTGGGTTAGGACCTTGCCAACTTGGCTACACCACAAACTCCTCCGGCAGCTGGTCTTCTCCCAAGAGATCCAGAGACAGGCAGTTCATGGATCTCTTTCCATAGAGGGCGGACTTGGTTTTGCAGTCTGCTGTTGAATAAACGCAGCCGTAGTTGGCCAGCTTATCCTCCAGTGCACAACCAAATGTGTAGCTGTGGGAGGTGTCCGAAGATAATGTGGAGCTTAGCGGTGGATGCCGATGCTTGTAAAGACGGATGTCATCCAAACTCTGGCTGTGCTGGTCTGCGCAGCTCCTGTCTTTAGGCTGTCTCACCTGCCGGTTCAGTAAGAGACAGATGAGGAAAGGACTATGAGCTGAAGCACAGCACTTACATAGCCTAAGGATGCTGGTTCCTAATGCTTATCGGAATTTTCTTAAACTGTTCTTGTTACCTCAAACCACCCCCATCAGCTTTCTGAAGGTCATTGTCTTAATGAAGAAGCTGTGAACCATAATGAAATTGTGAATTCACTTAACTGCCCTTCTATTTCATCCAGATTCTGATTTCTGTACACTGTGTCCCTAGTGTCAAGTACAATGAATGGAGCATCTGACAGGCGTAAAGCGTGGCCAAAGTGACACTTCCTGGCAGAGCTGGGGTGGTCAGCCTCTGGCTACATATGAAGAACAAGCACTAGAAAACATTGGGATGGGGTCCACTAAAAATTTATGAGCTAAAAGGAAGGCTCAAGAAAGCAACTGTGAAAACTGATGGGCTTTGTGCCTAATTTTAAACACAGATGCCAAGTACAACTAATCCACACATTACGCAGAAATGGAAAAATCGGCGCAGTGAACCAGCAGTAGCATTTAAAGGCAGAATTCACTTAGCAAAAGCAATAGCAGCCTAGCCTTTACTGAGGAATTACCCACCAGCCCTGGCTCTTGATAGTTATTCTTTAAATTGGTTTTAAGATTAAATTCTAGAAATATAGCATTCAAACAAAAACAAACACTTACCTTATCAATGCAGACATAAAACTTTGTCCACATATAATCGATAGAAATGTTTATTATAAATATATACAATTTTTACACACACTTTCAAAAGCACTCAGCATTGGCTCAACTCTTCTGCTATGCCTGGCGGACCACCCCAGCTCTGCCTTGAGAGAAGAGTTCGAACATAGAGTGCTTTCAAAAATCCTACCAATAATACAGTTAATTCAGTTACACAGCCTTGTATATACGAAAAAAGGCCCACAGTCACAAATTGACTATTCAGTATATATGCTGGTAAAAGAGGCAGCCATTAGAAAGAAAAGAGCTGCTGAAATGTGTTATCAAACCTATATTTAAATCAGAACTATTCTTATAAAACTGTTAAGGTGTCCGAATCTGGGGCCAAAATAGATTATCATCAGTGGAAAGCACTGTTTAAGTGTGTGGTCAGAAACAGATTAATGTAAAAACAGCATATCTTACTCAACATGTCTGCTCCCTGTGTGTCTGAGTCACCTCTGTTCAACTCGACAGCAGAAATAAGTTTTTACTATGGTTTGTCCTGCAGAACCAACAATTTTGGAAGAATAAGTTGGATTCTATTCTAGTCTCATGGATCAATAAAAGAGACTGGTAAACTCCAACTGGAGATTATTTATCACTGTTGACCATGTCCAGTAAGAGGCAGAAAGACCCCAGATTAATTTAAGAGAGAGAGATTGAGGAAGTGTTTGCAGATGGAGGTGGGGGGAGGGAGGAAAAAAAAAAATCAGATTTTCTTAGCTGAGCAAGTTTGATTTGGACTCAGAGGGAATAACTGGGAATCCCCATGATAGAAACAAACTTTTTTAATATGACTCTATTACTATAGCCACACTTTGAAATATAAAAAGGTTTAAAGAAGTTTTTAAATGTAAGAGGTTTTTCAGAGGGCATGACAGTATTGCTTAAGACACAGTACGTGCTTTTGCCATACATAGTTTCCTTTTCTCAGAGGCTTGGGGAAAAGAAAACAGAGACAGAAAAGTTCAACAAACAAGCAGCACAATGAAACAAACAGTAATAATTACAGACAGAGCAAAACCAGTCCCTCAGCTTTGAACCTCTTCCAACTTCAGGAGTGGAGAGGAAATTGAGTTTGCCTCTCAAATCCAAAATCACCCAAATGGTCTTGGCTCTGGTTTGGACCCAAAACTTGGAGTGGCTTATTTTCCATTTCCTTTTTGGAAGCCTAAATCTAAGAAGGACAGTTTGCAAGATTTCAGTCTTGCTCACTCCAAACCTTCTCATTATAATTTGGATCCAAATGCTGCCTCCTCATCCCATCTCTAGTAGTAATTACTGGTCAGCTTCTGGTCTGACTTATGCCAGCGTAAATCCAGAGTAGCCCCTCGGACTTGATTTACAGCAGTGTAAAGGAGAGCAGAATTTAACCCAATATCCACAGTCAGATCCACCAGTCTGCTGTTTCCTCTTACCTGATGAAGAGATTCCACACTTTGGCCTCTCATTTTTATCAGTGTGACTTGTACCACAGAGAGAGGCTTCTGCTTAAGGGCTGCAGAGGAAGAGATTGAAGTTCAGATTATAGATTTGCACTGAAACATTTACAGCAGTTCATGTGAAAAGGCAATTTACAATACATCTCCTCAGACGGTTACAATGTTCAGCGAGTCCCATACCACACACCTCCCAAGCTCATTTGAAAGACACTCACAGATGTCGTTTCAGTCACTAATACTCATGTGTCTTTCAACCTCAGGGCTGAGGCCAAAAGGCTGAATTAGAAAAACAGCATTATCAGGGCTATTTCATGCCCTACTTTCGTATTCACATCAGTCTCGCCCTGCTTTAATGCTTGGAATGGGACATAGATTCATGGGTCAGAAGGGACCACTATGATCACTGGAGGCCTGCGTAACAAGGGCCACAGAACCTCACCAAGCTCAACAACTTGTGATAGAACACATCTGCCTTTCACAATGTACATCAGTTAATTCCTTCGCTGGAAAGGCTTACATATGTTTTCAAGTCACACAGAAGAGATGTTCATGAATCAATTAAAAAAAAAATCTGAGATGGGTAAGGGAAAAACAGAGGCCATTACGGAGGACAGGGATGATGTTGCAGTATAATATAGCACACTTGCATTTCACCTCTATAGGACTTGGCTTCCAATCTGGTCTTAAGCCACAAAGAGAGAGAACTGAACTGTAACACAGCGAGCCAATTCCCAGCACGCCTGCCTCGGAATCCCTTCCGGATGATTCTGTGCTTGCCACGCACATTTCCATGAAACTACACGCAACCTCGAGGGGAGCATGGAACGACTGCAGAAAACCACCTCACCTTGACAGCAAAGTGCATCTAAAGCAAGAGAACTGACAGACTCTCCTTCAGCTGCCTCCTCCAACTGGTTTCTCTCTACAGGCTCATCCACAGGCACCTCCTCCGGCTCATCCACTGCCAGCTCAACCTCTGGAAGAGAAAGAAGAGCAGTTAACGTCATGTCTCTGCCCTCCCAAGTCATTTGAAGTTTCATTACCTCCTCCTTTCCATCACAACAGCATGGGACCAGGGTTACTAACCACCACATGGCCCCCGCCACTTCCTTACCGTCATCCTGAGAGTCATCTTCAGCTCTCCCTTTGCCACCACTGTCAATGCCAGAGCTGCCATAGCTAACGGTCGAGCTGCATGATTTCTCCTTCCGATGAACCCGATCGATACCGAAGGGCTCATCCACTGACATTTCCACTGACATCCTGTGCCTCGAATCTGCCTCAATACCAGACGTGTGCGAGCTGCCGTGGCTCCCAGTTGATTGACGAGATAGTCGATTGTTCCTCCGGCTGCCCCCACTGCTTCCACTGCCATGGGAGTGCTTATCCGAGGGGTCAAGGTCCATCTCCAGAGTGTCACTGATGTAGGATTCCCGATAACGCTTCTTCTCTATATGGGGGGGACAGTGGGGAAAGGAACCAATTGGAGATAAAACAAATTAAATCCAAACGGAGGTCCTAAAATTCATTGATTCTCTTCACCATGACTCCTGCTCTAGAGAAAACCATTGTAAGGAAGGGGGAGTAGAAGCCTCAAGAGGGGAGACTGTCCTGAGTTTAACATAGGACTGTGGTCTGTGGCGGTCTCAGCACGCTGATCAGTGAAGGGCCCATAATCTGAAGGAAATGGGGAGGGTGGGCGCAATTGTAGGGGCACAAGGGAATTGTGTAGAAGTGGTAGGCGATGGATGGAGGCGTACGTGAGGCTATGCCCCCACTGGAAACATATCTTAATTGGGTCCCTCCCCACAAGTTTCTATAGCAGATCCTGGGGTCATTCAAACAGGAGCTAGCGAGATGCTTAGCTCTCTACTCCGAACAGACCATCTCCAGGGCCAGTATTAAGCACAAAAAAGGACCACATTTTCTTCTTTGCTTCAGCCCCTTTCCACCACTCTGGCAGAACAGAGGTGCTGAAAAGTTAATAGATCTCCTCAGCCAACGATCCCCCCCCCCCCCCACGCATGTGCATCAGCTCCTACATCAATTCACAGATTAGATGGTGGGTCTGCAACACTACTGTGGCTCCTTGGCAAAGAGTCCCCTGATCTTCGCAAACAACTCTCACCTCAGACCTGACAAACTCATGGACACCAAACATGACTTGCAGGACAGTTATCCATAAAGAGTAACATCTAAGGTATCTACAGAAACTTACCTGTCAAGATTCATATTCATTGCAAGATGTCTGTATGGGTAATACTGAAGGAATTATGTATTTATACTGCATGTCTACTTTATGGACTGGGAGTGTAAAAAGTTAGTCACCAGGGGATATGTCTCGCGATGGCCCATTCAGGCAGGAGGGAGGTGTCACCCCACCCTGTTTAGCCAGTGATGCAATGCAAGGCTCAACTGACTGGCCTTGCTCCAAGACTTTCAATGGAAAGCCAATGGAGACAACTGCGAACAACTGAAACAGACAGGAGATCACCCTTCCTAGGAGTAAAGACAAAAACCTGTTTCTGTATAACAGAGAATATGGAAAGGCACTGTGGATCCATGCACTGAAGAGACATCTTGAGGAACAGGGGTGTTCTCATTAAATACTGGATCCTGATTCCTGTGAAGCCAGACAGCTCAGCAACAGACTGAAACTTTGGGGGAGGAAAACCTACTTTATTAGATAAGAAAGGTAACTATTAAGTGCAGACCCACGTTCACATTTTACGATTTTGTTTTGTATTGCAAGTTATCATTTGTTTTCCTCACACTCTTGTTTCTAGAAAAAAATCTCTATCCTTTCAGCAGTGTCGGGGGCTGGGTATCAAAGGGGAACGCTTCAAAGGGGCTCGGGGACTGGGGTGCATCTATTGTTAACTTGCAAGGCAAAGTGAGCTGGCATAGCCCAGAGAAGAAGGCTTGAGTAGCTGTGACACCAAGCACCCCTGTACTCACATCCTATACACTATTGTAATAAGCTTTGTACAAAATAAGCTGGGTGAGGTATCATTTGAGAACGATTAACTCACTGATCATTAATATTCTTCCATGATGCATGTGTGCAACGTATATTAAGTGTTAGGACATATGCTGGAATGATTACTAAAGAGTGTTTAAACCAGGTATACCAGGCGGTTGGTAAACAGGTCTGTCTTAGATAAAGGAACTGTTTTTCCCCACCTGGGAGTTGCTTCCAAAGTACTGTGAAAGAAGGAGAATGTGCTCACATATTGTGTAAACAGACCTGTTAAGCTAACAAGGGAGGGGAGGGGTGAGGCAAACCTCTCTCTAACAATTGAGGGAGAAGGGAGCACCCAGCAGGAGAGAGGGGCTAGGTCTGGGTTTTACTTTCCAAAGAGTCCATTTCAAAGGTTTACTATTTATAAAGACAGGGGGCTGAACCTCAAACGAGAAGCAATTGAATCAACCGACTGCATACAATATTATTGTATTATAAAAGTGTATTGAGTGAGGTCTTTTCTGGAAGTTAAGGACATACATACATTCAGGGCCGGCTCCAGGCACCAGCTTACCAAGCAGGTGCTTGGGGCGGCCACTTCAGAGAGGGGCGGCACGTCCAGCTGTTCGGCAGCAATTCGGCTGACGGTCCCTCACTCCTTCTCGGAGCGAAGGACCTCCCGCCAAATTGCCGCCGCAGATCACGATCGCGGCTTTTTGTTTTTGTTTTTGTTTGGCTGCTTGGGGCGGCCAAAACCCTGGAGCCGGCCCTGCATACATTGCACAACATTATTGTTCACCAGTAACAATACTATATGGGTAAATGTGGTTTCTTAATGATATTGTGGCCCCAGATTTTAAAACAAATAGGGAGAAACAGGTTCCCTTCCAGACAGGAGAGAAGGCAGTTATTTACCTGTCTCCTTCATAAATTAAGCATGGTGTGACCAGAAACAATGGGAGCTCCATTTACAGAGAAGTCAGCAGGGGGATAGGAAGCCCACAAGAAGAAAACAAAACAAAAAAAACAGCATGAGGTCATCCTGCCTCTTGAAACAAGTTCATTGAACTTTGGAAGATGTAAGTAAGGAGAGAAGCAATCTTTGGCATCCATCACAAGACAGAGACAAGGGAACAGAACTCGTGAGCGGAGAAAGATGGGACCTTCAACTAAGGGTGGTTGAAGTCTCTGGGAAATAAATACAGGGGAGAAAAAAATATCTTGAACAAAACTTGTACCTTGCTAAGTTAAGTTTTAGACTTTTAGATGTGTGTTTTTCAATTTTATTTGCTTGTGACCCTTTTTAACTTTCTTGCTTTTACTTGGTATCTCTTAACCTATGTCCTCTTGTTAATAAATTTCTTTTATATTTACTATAAACCAACTCAGTGCAGTGTTTAAATGAAAGGGTGTGTTTATCCCAGTTAAGTCAATAAATTGTGATATACTTCTGTGTCTCTACAAGAACAAATTTTTATTATTTCTCTGAACTGTCCAGGAGAAGGCTGGACATTACAAAGCACAGGGTTTGGGGCTGGGAGTGAGTTGGGAGTCACCTTGCTGGCTGTAACCAAGGCTGGGGTCAGAGCTGCCGGATCAGGGCTGCGTGAGACATGTATGCTACTTGCTGACTGTGAGTATCCCAGGCTGGCTGCTACAGTAGCAAGGCACTGAAAGGCACCGAGCTGCAGGGCAAATGGTGACAACCCGACTGATCTGGACTGCCCCCCGACCAGACTGTCACAGTGCCTGCAAGAGTGGTGATGTTAGAGAGTGGACACCCAGCTAGGCCTAGGCAAGACTCCCTCATGCAGGAGGCAGGGGACAGCAAGGGACTCACACTGTGCTCCACCTATTCTGGAGGCAACAGTCAGCAGGCACATTTTAGTGCAGCCTCAGGGCTGCTGTAAACTATGACAGAGCCAGTACGCAATCAGTCCCAAGCCAAGGAGTCTCAACCATCTTTCTCTGTGCCTCCTATTCCTCTACCTATTGTACTTATATAGCCCCCCCATCACCCTAGTATCTGCACACTTCAGATAAACATCCTCACAACATTGACATATGAAGTGCAATCCTCCCTGTTTTACAGGTGGGAAATGGGGGCACAGAGTGTTTAAGTGACAGTGGATATTGGGTGCAGCTGGGAACTTGGGCCAAGCACTGATGGGGACGGCTCAACTTACTGGCTTTTGGAGTCCCCGTGCAGATTTCATTTCCTGGGCCAGCATAATCGCTTTATCTTCCCCCTTCCCCCACTCCTGGAAGCAAGATCAGACAGTGAAACAACTTACCTACCTGGCAGTGGGATGGGAAAGGGAGGCAGCATATGGCCCATTTTCACCAACCCCAGATTGGGGCTCAGTGAATGCTAAAGCCAGCTGTAGTCCACCTTCCTCCAAGGACTTGTGAAGTCTGAGAGGTTGGGGTGGGAGGAGGATGGGGACAATACACCACAGAGCTTTAGGTTTCTTTAGACCAGGGGTAGGCAATCTATGGCACACGTGCCAAAGGCAGCACGCGAGCTGATTTTCAGTGGCACTCACACTGCCCGGGTCCTGGCCACCAGTCCGGGGGGCTCTGCATTTTAATTTAATTTTAAATGAAGCTTCTTAAACATTTTAAAAACCTTATTTACTTTACATACAATAGTTTAGTTATATATTATAGATTTATAGAAAGTTCTAAAAACATTAAAATGTATTACTGGCACACAAAACCGTAAATTAGAGTGAATAAATGAAGACTCGGCACACCTCTTCTGAAAGAACAGGAGTACTTGTGGCACCTTAGAGACTAACACATTTATTTGAGCATAAGCTTTCGTGGGCTACAGCCCACTTCTTCGGATGCATAGAATGGAACACACAGAAAGAAGATATTTATACATACAGAGAACATGAAAAGGTGAAAGTAGCCATACCAACTGTAAGAGGCCAATCAATTAAGAAGAGCTATCATCAGCAGGAGAAAAAAAAACCTTTGAAGTGATAATCGAGATGACCCATAGAAGGTGTGAGGATACTTAACATGGGAAATAGATTCAATTAGTGTAATGACCCAACCATTCCCAGTCTCTGTTTAGACCCAAGTTAATTGTATCTAATTTGCATATTAATTCAAGTTCAGCAGTCTCTCTTTGGAGTCTGTTTTTCCAAGTTTTTTTGTTGCAAAATTGCCACCTTCAAGTCTGTCACTGTGTGGTTAGAGAGGCTGAAGTGTTCTCCCACTGGTTTTTGAATGTTGTGATTCCTGATGTCAGATTTGTGTCCATTTATTGTTTTGCATAGAGACTGTCCTGCTACTCTGAAACCTGTCACTTCTGAAACGTTGCTGACCCCTGCTTTAGACAGTCTCTTCAGTGAGTCACTGCTGAGCCCTTTATGCACTCACACATATGTAAGCTACCATTACATTCCTTTTGCTGGTTTACACCCCGCCCCATCTCTCTCATTCTTCTGCACACCCCCACACCCTTCAGGCATGCCGGTCACCTCAAACCTGTCACTAGTGATTAGTGCTGTATTTAACTGCACCCATTGTGTAACTGAGCTTAGTGGAAGGAAGAGGAAAGCAAACTCAAGAGTAAGAGGGTAAGGCTGTAGCAGAAAAAGGAACAAGGAGGAAAAAGTGAACCTGAACCAGACCACCAGGTTGGTGCCTGGGTTGCTCGCCACATCCCATCTTTTACCGGTGGGCAACAGAAGTGAACACAACCTACTGAAGTCCTTATTAACGACCTTTAGGAAGTGGGAAGAGAAGGGGGCTATCCTATACAATGAATTGATTTAGTTTATTTTTGGGTGTAATTTAACATCCGGATTCTTAAGGACTTCAGTCTTCTTTGCAAGGAATGCAGGATGTCCCTGCTCCACCTATCATTAAGTGACATGACCTCAGTCTTCTCCACATTACCTTGAGCTCTGTCTAATGCCTAGAGCTCTGGATATCACACAGATTTCCTAAGGACTAAAAGCAGGTGACTGTACCCTCCTCACCACACCACCACCCCCATTTTTATACCCTCATGCTCACTAGTTTGTTTTAGGGAGTTCAACTGCCAAGATAAATAATGGGGATCATGAGCATTCACAAAGTGCCCTCCATCCCAAGCCAAATGGATTCTGTGGATTTTTCCCAGAATCACTTTTCAATACTGGATTTACAGGAGGAGGAGGAGGAGGAGATCAGTAATATTTTAAAATACAAGCCTAGCTGGCTGATGGAGTCATTATGCTGTGGCTGTACATACTGTTAACCTTAGGCAACTGAAATTATTGCCATGGCTACTGTGTTAGGTACCAAACTGAAATAGAAAGGGAAATCAGGAAGGAGTGTTCTTTTCCATACAAGCTGTTCCCTGCCACTCTTCCACACACTCCTCACCTTTCCTTCTCAAACCAACATAAAAAAGGAAGAACTTGAAGAAAAGTCCCTGTCCCACCTCAGATCCAATCTGTCTCCTTAGAAACTCTTGTCATCCTACTCCAATGCCATTCAGTCTGCTTCTCAACAGTGAGGTGTAACAGACCTCCCACTCCTTCAAACAATCCTGGTTTCCACATTTGAGAGGAACTTTAGTGGCTAAGTCCACTGAAGCAGAAATACTGGACTTTGAGCCACTACAGCTCTTTTTGAACACGGAGAGGGGTGCTGCTCATGACATCAGGAACAGCTAGGAACTTAAAGGATCTATCAGGCTTTGCTGGGAGAAGGAACTAATGAAGATGCACAAATGCTGGCTAATATTGTTCAAAAAAGTGACCAGGAATTTTGGGTGCTCAACTTAAGTAACCTTGAAGGTAACTGATTTTCAGAACGTGGAGAGCATTCCCCACTCTGAAAATCATGCCCCTGTAATGTGTCAAGTTGGGCATCCAAAAAAAAAAAAAAAAAAAAAAAAAAAAAAATCACTAGTCCTTTTGAAAGTCCTGGCTATTAACTTTGATTTAGATTTTTTGGCTCCACTGACAGAGGGCTTGCAAAGTTAAGTTGAGGATTGTTTTTTAGATAAAAAAAGTTAAGTTGTATAACAGTGACTGCATGTTTAACATTCTGAAGTGTCATCCCCTCCAGTCAGCCATGTGTTCAATCATTCAGAATTAATTTTAAATGCATAACACTTAGCACTTACATAGCACCTCGGTTTGTAAGGGTGTGTTAGTATCATTGTCCCCATTTAATGGACATTTGAACTTATTTACAGACAGCAAATATTAATCCAAATGATTGTAAATCAGCAGAGCACCAAGAACATGAGGCGGGGAGGCAGAATCATACATTAGGTATTAAAAACCAACAGAAGCAAAAATAGTATCACGTTTTTATATACTGTGTATTCTGATGAGTAGGGGACACCCAGCTGGCTATTAACACTATTATTTCTGCGATGCATAATTTGCATCTTAGCTAAGATCTGGTGAATTAGAGCAGCCAGACAGGGAGAGTTTCACCCCAGGTGTGGAGTAAAACAGACACATTTTGGTTGAGAGTTATGTTATCTAGGCAACCTGCAATGACCATTCTTAAAATGAAAAACAAAAACCAAATTATAAGTATTCTGTGGAGCTGAAAAACTTCTCACTAAATGAAGACAACGTGTGAAGTATTTGGAGGAGCAAGGTAGCTTGCGTGGCAGGCCGAGAAAGGGGGTTCTATATGTCTGAGCACTTAGTAGCTTAGGGACTGATCCTGCTCCCATGCTATTAAAAGGCAAAACTCCCAATTACTTCAGCGGTGGCAAGATTGAGCCCATCTGCACCAGGAAATTGACCCATCACTGAAAACAGTTGTCAGCAGGGGTCCTCCTGTATTGGTGTTCAAAGATGTTTAAATGCTAGTACAGGAGATGGGATAAAGCTATTTTCAAAACACTAGTCCTGGGGAAACTTACTGCTCACAGTCATTGTCAGCAATGGGTCAATTTTCTTGTGTGGATAGGACTTGAAATCTGTAAAAGAAACAGAATTTTTAGTTATGCACTGAACTCCCATTAAAGTCAATGGGAGTTGGTGCTCAGCACCTCACAGGATTGAGTCCTAAATAAGCCACAAGGGAATGGGAAAGAACTATCAGAACAGTGTGTGTGTCAAGCAGGTCACAAGTAGAGCCCACTTTGACTCCTGACATGTATGTATTTCCAAACCTGCTGCATTTTGTTTTCACAAATATTATAAGATTTGCCAGACTGGGTTGAGACCAATGGTCCATCTCGCCCAATATCCTGTCTGGTACAATGGCCAGCACCAGATGCCTCAGAGGAAGGTGCAAAACCTCCATAATGGGTCGAATACCCTGCCCAAATGCATTGTGTTAATGTTCTAACAGCATTCTTTAGCAGATGACGATCACATGCCATTGATTGGAACCCATATTCCTCAGTAACCTTCTTTACACACTGTTATTGGGATTAACAGTTAACACAAAAAACAGAACAACAACACAGAGAAGGACCGTACTAGAAGTGGCCAATGGGTCATCTTGCCTTGTATCCAGACTCAGGATAGCCAATGCTCACTGGTTCAGAGACAGATGTGAATTCCCCATAATTAACTCAAGTGGGCAATACTATACCACAAGAAGAAGTTGCTTCCTGACCCCTTCTGGGAATCATCTTAAACCCTGAAGCCACAGGATTGACAGCTCGTATCATTTTAATCAATTTATATATTCAGGGTATGTTTAAAGATAAATTATTAGATGTTATGCCCATGTTACAAACATAAGCAATGTGTTCCAGATGGTTATGAAGTAACCTCCTGAATGGCTGGACTCGATCAATCTATAGCAATTGATTAACTATTTAGCAACCCTTCATAAAATGGTACCTTTAATACAGCAGAGTGACCATGATTTGTAGCATACCTTGAGTAACTGCAGATCCTATCTTTTTCAGAACTTATTAAAAGGTCAAAATAAGATTGAGCGGACAATGAGCGAGAATCACCACTCACATCAGGAAAGGAGGAAATCTCCCTTTGTTTCCTGAACACAGTCTCTAGTGAGAGAAAACCCAAGTCAAGCAGTGGGAGTCGTAACCATTTCATGCTAACCAATGGGAACAAACCTGATCCCTCTCCTTCCTCTCACCATCTTCACTTTCATGACAGAAAGGCTATCAAATAATAAGAAGCCACTATGAAGTCTGCTCCCCATCACGTACCTTCTGCCTCCTCCAGCTTTCGGATATGCTTCAGCACCGGCTGGATGTTCAGAAAGAGTCGGTGGCTGTTGCTCAGGAGCTGCAGCAAGTGTCGTGACCGGAAAGGGCAACCCGTGTAGTACACCAGCTTCCGGGCAGAGGGCAAACCATCTGGCTGGATCTCAAATTTTTTCCCCTAGACAAACAGAAGGAGGAATCCCAGAAAAGTGAGGAGAGGGATGTTTTCAGTCAGTGGCAAAAGATCAATACATTTTTATTTACACTAGTAAAGCTTGGCAGGAAATGCAGGCAAGCCAACTGCTTTGCCAGGTTGCAGGCTGCCGTATTCCGCTACACTCACCAGAAACGCGAGTTTCCCAATGTGTGACCAGGGGAAGTCATAGAGCAGCTGGCTGACATGGTTCACCTCCTGCAACATAGCAAACACACGATGACACAAGGGCTGGCAGATATAAGGAGGAGGGGGAGATGTGCAAGGAATTCACACGCAATCAAGAATGTGAAATACACAGTCTGGCAAACATAAAGGAGACAGGGAGAAGGGAGTGCTGAGGGCTAGATGGAGTTAATGGTACATCAATAGCTTTCATTTCATTCGGTTACCTGATAGATGTGAATTCCTTTAAGGGTGAGGCCCAGGACAACTGTTGGGCGATCTTCCTTCTTATCCTACAAGAACATAAAGGTCTGAGGTCAAAAAGGTAGCCCATACACACAGAGACCCACACTGACTGATAGGTACTGGAACAGAGCCACAGCAAGGTTATCCCAATTCAGCACAAGTTATTAGAATTTCATATCTCCCCCTCCCCCCGTTTGGCTGGGTTATTTTTGTGCGTCCATTTCCTCACTGAAAAACACTGAATTAAATATCTCACTTGTGTAGTTCTTCTCATGCTGGGGTCTTGAGAGTTTCCACCACATACTGAACACCTAAGACAACCTGCAGTCATTGAAGTGGAATCCAATGGCTTTACTGAATTTAGAGCAATGTCATTTATTTAACAAAGTGGTTATTCATAGCCGATCACCCCTTACTTCAATCTGCTTCCACTGCTATCCCCAGGAACACCCCCACCTGCCCAGCACAGAAGTAGAGACTGAAAAACTATTATTAGGTCCGCTTGTCCCACTTCCTTGCCAGGGCAGAAATGTTCCCACTAGTGGCCCTGCTGGAACCTGGAGGTGCAGTCCAGCAGCAGGGGTTAATAAAGCCCCATAGGTGGAATGACTTGATGTTGGTTAATGCAGCTTTGGGTCAAGCTTTTTAGCATTTTCTCTCTGACCTCAGTATATACTGTAGCCTTTTATACTTAAGGCTTTTAAAGGATTATTAGGATCATTATCCTATTGTACCTGTGCTGCACCTTGATGGACACATGTGCTGTATCATTGACAGTTCTATTCTATTTGAGATTAGTTCGTGTAAACATGTTCTGGATTCTTTTTATTTCCTTAAGCAACAAATATCTCCTAGGACATGCCAGTGATACAGAGTCACACGCACCTCCCCTATCAGAGGAGGGGTTGGAATTTCTTGGGAACTAACAAACAGAATAACTCCAAACAATGATATAGAGCTCAGACCTTAACATTAAACCTTCCACTATTCCCATCCTGCACTGGTTAAGATACAGGCCTCATGCAACTATACTTAACTTTCCTTCTGCTGGGGATGGGGGTGGTAAAAGAGAGGGAGGCAGAAGGTGGAAGTCTAATTAAAAATAGTTTGAAAGGTGTCAGCTTTATCTAATTCATTAACTGGCCTGGAGAGGGGAAACAGGGTAGGAAACAGATGTGAGCCTCGCCAGCCCAGAGACCAGAAGATGTGAGACTGCTCTTAAGCTCAGATCTCCCATGAGTTGGCACAATGCACTGCCACACAAGTCACCAGCAGCTAGCTCCTCTGACATACTGTCCAAATGGGCTGGTGCTTCATAATCCAACGATGAATGGATAGATAAACTTGCTCACGCCAGTATTCTTGCCTCTCTGGTGGAGGTGGCAGCGGGAAGGACGTGTTGTGGCCATAGCAATGTATGTAACAGTTAACATATGCTACAATTCAAGACAGACAGGAATTCAGGTATTAAGGACAACCGATTTCACACCCGTCATGCCTCGGGACATAAATTGTATCACATCCTGCCAGTGCGTTTCTTATAGCCTTCAAGTGCAAGCCAGACTATCTTATGACGATCATTAATGGCATTAGAGTCAAAGCAGGGAGAAGATGAGGGAATGGATGTGGCTTATGAGAGGTTAAATCAACATCATTAGAATCTGAGCCCAAACTGGAACGTATTTCCTGTAGAGAACCTGAAACTTTCTTCTTGATGTTTTCCCCGTAAGTGGAGCATCTCAGAGATTTAATGGAACGAAACAGGCCTCAAGCTTTTGGTGTCTCCTGGACATAACCTTGCTTGAATGTGACCAGCACAGAAAGAGACTGGATCAGGAAGCCTTCAAATTATTCAGTAAGCTCTGGAAAAGTGGACCGCGTGCGTTCAGGAAAAGCCCTGTGCATCTCCTAGGACCTGGCTCGCCTAAGTGGGAAAGGAAACTCACCCAGGGGTGCATATGTGCTCTTTGACTCTGGATATTGCCCTTCCATTGCCTACAGTAGGTCACTTATCAAGTCAAAATGCAAGAGGCACCTCCTCACCTCCCCATCCTGTAACATCATCTGCCTGGGAGCAAACAGCAATTGGGGAGACTGGAGGGGAGGGAGTAGGTGGCAAAAAGGAAATAAAATAACTAACTAAAAAAACCAAAACTGAAAAATACGCACACCAAGAACAAAGAGGTACAAAAATTGCTATTTGGGCACACTCAGCGCTAGACTTGGGGGCTCTTTGGGGGCAGGGACTGTCTTTTTGTCCTGTGTTTGCAAAGCCCCTGGCATAAAGGGGTCCCGGGCCATGACTGTGGTCTCTCAGTGCTATGATAATACAAATAATCTCTTTCACTTTTTCACAGCACTTGAATGCCATAGGACAGACCCCTTTGATTATCCTTTCAACAATCCTCTCCCCCCACCAATCAATCTCCCTCATCTGACAACATATGGCTTCCCAGTGTTTTCCCCTCCCACGACTCCACATTCAGCCAGTCCTCAGATGCACCCAAAAATACTCTGCAGCAGTTGCTGTGGCATCACACAGAGCAGTGTGGAATGGAATGGGAGCAGACTCCAAACTACTCTTAGAGAAGGGAGGCTGACCTACTTGTGGGGCTGTGAATCAAAGGCTGGGAACTTAAAAGGTGTTTCCTCTCTCTACCAAATGAGTCTGCCATGGAACGGTATTTGTGCACATCAGTGGAACCTCCCCAGATACAAATGGATTCACTCCCACATGTGGCAAAGCCTCTGCTTTTAACATTAGAGGCACAACATTTATAAAGTGAAAAGAAACCGAGCAGCACATTCATCTTTGACAAAAGGATGAAATAAGCAGTTGTTTGTTTAACCTTCTGTAATCTGTAATAATGGACAGGTACATCTTCCAGCAAACAGGACTCCTTAATGAACTTCAGGATTGCATCTTTAGCGGTCAGACCTTGCTGTTCTTGGTGCATCTCTGGAGCATGCTTCAAGATATAGTCACTCCCCCTCTTTGCAATTATCTGCCACAAAGGAAAGAGACATGGTCAGCAGCTTTTCAACGATCCCAACAGGAGGCAGCTGCGTCAACAGCAAGGACCAAACAGGAGTGGAAACGGAAGCTCTTTCCCAGTTAACCTGAACACCACACCAGGCAATGTAAGTTCACTGAACTCTCTCTCCTTGAAGAGCCAGCATTTAAATTTGCCCAAAAGATATTAGAGAATAAGGTCTCTGAATAGGTCCCCCCTTAACTATGTGGCAAAATCAGAACATGCAACACCTGAGCACAATAAGACAATAGTATTTGTTATTTAATATTTGTATTCTCTAGTCCTGGCAATTCTTCTCAGGTTTCAGTTTTGCTAAACACTTACAGGCAGCTATCTAATACTACCTAAAATACTGGAGTATTCTTCAGCCACGGCCCAAAACACTGCAGAAATGCTAGTATATGCATCAATAATAATTACACCTGGTGCTTATTTAGCAGTGTTCATCTTCACAGTGCTTTATCAACAATAACTAAATACACCTCTCATTGCCTCTATGGAGGTAGGCAAGTATTACTAGCCTCCCATTTTACAGATGGGAAAATTCACACCAAAGTTCAGTGATGTTTCCAGGGCCAATGAGTGCTAGAGTTTACAGCTCAGGAGTTCCTGGCTCCCGGTCTTGTGCTCAGATCACTCAGCCATGTGTTACTGTAGAATAATGCAGTATTCTAGGGTAATGTTAAAGCCTTCCCCCACATAGGAAAGGCTGGGTTGGGAACAGTTGCAACAGAGATAGGAAGAAATTTATGCTAAACTTGCTTTTTCAAAGAGCCCCATTACACACGACATTTAAAACTAGACTGTGCAAAGCACTTGAGAATAACCAATAGGGAGCAAATTGCCCAAGCAGGGATATGGACAGTGACCAAACAGAGCCTTTTTCATAGTTCTATTAAGCTCTTCTTTTGCCTTCTTATACAAACTCCCTGTTTTTCCCTGTGCACAGACCTCATGTGACTATAATCATCCTCCTACCAAGAAGGCTGAGCTCTGTCAATGTCACTCTTGATCTTATCAGCCAGCAGCTGTACAGCATCACAAGGCTATAGTTGGGAGCCAAGTCCAGAGTTCAAAGCCAGATTTCCCACTTGCTAGCCTGCAGCTCCACCCTTTATATTCATTATTTGGGTTGCAGTAGCCTTCGGCCACCAATCTGAACGAGATGCTGTTAAAGAAGTAGATCATGCAGTGTCTCCCTGCTGTACCCTGGGGACAGGGAGAGAAGCATCCCCCTGGATGCCAGATTTTGCTATTTGTAATAATAAATCATCTACACGCTCGCTTGGGCCTGTGGCTCAATGCAGCTGGGCTGTGCTCAGCCTTGGCCTTTGCAATGTTTGCAAGATTAAAAAGATTGATAGCTGCCCTAGAACAGTCCCTGTCAGACCCACCTTCTTAAACCCTTTGGAAACTACGTAATGCCAGGTGTATGTCATCTGGGAACTGCAATTTCCAGGGTGGGGAAGAGAGTCCAGCGAGGAGAATTCTGCCAGGGAAAAGGGAGTATTTGTGCACAGTGGGAGGAGAAGTAGCTTGGGGCTCAGGAGTATAAAAGTCCAGACTTGCCCTGCCTCCACCACACCTGCCTCTTGACGCCATTCGTTTCTTCTGCATTGAACCCTTCCCCCGCCCGACGCTTGGAAACAGCTGGGGTTGGAGGGGAATCAGAGGCAGAGAGGTAAGGAGATGTGCCCAAGGATACACACAGCAGGTTGGAGGCAGAGCCAGTAGAACCCTGACTTCTTGACTCCCAGTCCAGAGCATCATCCTCTCCCTCCCTGTCATTTACTTGCATTCTCACTGACTGTGGTGGTTCACTTTGCATCCGTGCGTAACAGCAGAGTAGGAAACAGTGCAGGAAGCATTCTGCACGTTGCATGTTTGTGCGCTCCTTCCAAAGGAACTGAATGGCCAGAAGACAAGTGACTGGTTCAGTCATTGCCCTCAGGCAGAGTTAGTCACCATAACAGGTTTAAAAAAGGCAAACCATTTCCGCTCAAAATGATAGTCACAATTCAAATTAACCTATTAAGACTTTTTTTTGGGGGGGGGGGGGGGAAGGGAGGTGAAAAACCACCAAACTGTCCCCAAACACCCCAAAATCTGTAAAAATGGAGCATGGAAACTGAAATCTTTAAAGTACATACTAGAAGCACTGGACAATGAGACAAGTAACTCAAGACCAATTAGTGGCCAAGAGACCATACACAGAGGGATCACAATGAAATTCTCAGCTGAGTCTAGTCAGAGTGAGAAGTCCTTTTCTCTCTGTTTTGACCAACTGGTGTTGCCCCTCACGTACTGCCACCCCGCACCGAGCTCAGTCCACCCCACAAGTAAATATGATGGGGCCAAGGTATTGAAGATAGTTTTACTCTTCTTCAGCCCCTTGAGGTTTTCCAGAGAATCTTAGGATGCAAAAGCAAATGCATTTCAATGCAATTTATTTCTGAAAATATTTGCCATTTAACGGTTGGATTCAGACTGGGAAGCACATAGACCTCAGTGGAGAAAAAGCCCTGTTGGATTCATCCCACATACAGCCACAGAGCCTGGGGAGTCCCTGCTGCAACTGCAGACGATTCTGCCTCATTCTCATGGGGGGGGGGGGGAAACTTACCCACTGTGGGAAATAGGCTTGAGGTTCAAAATATTTCCCAACATGGACATTCTCCATATAGTTGCCCAAGTCAGCCTGTAAACCATACGCAGCCAGCAGGAAGTAGATTTCTTCTTTGTGGAGGCACCGAGACCTCAACACCTGCTCCTTGAGATGGCAGTAGTACAGGTGCCGCGCTGCCATGTCACTGCAGAATACAGAGAGAAGCTGTATTTAAGCCAGAGCAAAGAGAGATCACATTCAGGTAAGGCCAGTCACATGCAGCTTCACTGTCGAGAATGGACATGTGTATGGAATCACTGATGTGTATAAACTGCATTTTTAAATAGTCATTTACTCTCTGTATTATAGTAGCATCTACAGCCCCAGTCAAGACCAGGGCCCCACTGCACTAGGCACAGTAGGGAATAGTCTGTCCTCAAATGTTTACAGTCTAAACAATCCAAATAGACAAAGGTTGAAGAAAGGAACTCTTATCACATTTTTGGGGAGAAGTGGAACTAGGGCACAGAGTGATTAAGTGCCAAGAGTCACATGGGAAGTTGTGGCAGAGCCAGGAAAGGATCTCAGATCTCCTGAGTCCCAGTCCAGTGTCTCAACCAAAAGTTCATCCTTCCTCTCTAGAACTGGCACTGCTTTTGTATTGCACCTTCCAGCTGAGGCTCTCAAAGTGCTTTACTATATCAGTGAATTACCTGGGAGGTAGATAATAATGGCAGGAACCTTGGATTTGCTTTTGTTGTCTTGCAGGAGCACTAAATGGGGATATTATTAGGGAAAGGTGAGCATATGATAAATAGATGGATAGATGGTCACAGAACCAAGACTTCCCTTCTAGGACTCTGATTCAGTGTGTGTGTTTTAAAGAAGCCCCATGATTGCATGGATGTGCCTGTGCGCACCTCTCTCTGCTTTACTACTACTGCAGAGGAAAGAAGCTTGTGATGCCAATGGAGAGGTACAAAGGGTACATCTACACTGCAATTAAAAACCTGCAGCTGGCCTGTGCCAGCTGACTTGCGGTGTAGATGATGTTCTTGGGTTTGGGCTGCAGCCTGAACTCTGGGACCCTCCCACCTTGCAGGGTTCCAAAGCCCAGGCTCCCGCCTGAGTCTGACTGTCTAGACCACAATTAAACAGTCCCTTAGCCCAAAGCCTGCGAGCCAGAGTCAGCTGGCATGTCCCAGTGGTAGGTTTTTAATTACAGTGTAGACATACCCAGAGGAAGATGAACAATACTGGGAAGTCTCCTTTTAGCAGTAAGAAAAACTTCCTCTTCTCAGAGAGAAACTTTCAAAGGGAAACTTTCTCCCCTCAGTCCAAAGAGGAAAATAAAAAAGCCTTACTCAGATGAGGACAGCAAAATGCCTAAATGGAGCAAAGATTATGCTGACATTAATCCACCTGAATGCTTCCAGCTCTTGGTTTGCCCTGAGGCCAGAACCACACCAGCAGTGCTGATGCAAAAACATTCTGTCAGTTGTTCATTTTTAACTGAATCATCCTTTGTTCTGCCTGGGGAGGGAAGGGTAGTTGTGTGCATCCTATATTCCACATGAATGGAACCCACTCAAATGCAAAATTCTATAACTCACAAGTCATTCCTTTTGTCCACTTCCAAATTAGCCAGCATGCGCATGGCTCAGATACAGTAAATACAAAAAATAAATTACCAAAGGAAAAATACTAGGCTGTATCCCAGAGTAACAATTTCTATGATCATTTTGCCAGTGTTGGTCTGATTTTCTTTTTAATCTTGTATGTACAATCAGAGGTTTGTTGGCTGCATTTTAATAAATATTACCTACATCCATATCTAGAGAGAGAAATAAAAAAGAGTTAAGCCTTCCGAACAAGGAGGAAGAAGGGGGAAAAATTATTGTAGACTGAAGTTCAGGCTGTGGAAAGCATATGAAAACAAGGCTGATATAGTTGTTGTGGCCAAATGGATGGGGAGTCTGAAGAAGAGCAACAGCTAAATCAAAGCATGTGAGTGAGAGGATGGAGAGTAGATAGCAGAACAATAAACTTGAGGGTGCTCACTGTTAATTTTGTAATAACTTCTCTAACTTTAGCATCTAAACAATTGTAAGGCTGAACAATTAAAAAGCAGCAACATTAAATTATTGGCGCATGGCGCTTTAAAAGGATAGCTGAAAAGCATCTCAGTTTGAATCCTACCAGGATGGAAGTCGACTCCTTTGGATAAAAGGATGTACTGACAGACGACATTATTGACCTCCAGAGAATGCCTTTAGGACTACAGCACCCACAGAGAGAAGGAAAGAGCTCTTCAAAGGAAATAGATTTTTGTTTTTCCATCTAATACAGCTTTATTAAAAAATAAAGTTGTTACCCTGGACAGATTTACCTTATGGCCCTTCCATTTTCTACATAGTACTGTACTCTGAAGAAGGCAACAAAAGGAGGGGTGAACTTCTCTGTACCCTTTAGGGCAAAGGGAGAAAAAGAAAGCATTAGACAATTTTCCCATGAGTCCAGAGGCTCATGATCTTCCCCACTATTCTGTGTTTTGCCCATTGTTCCCCACTCCAGACCCTCTCCCCGCATTTTCTTTTTTTTATTCACAACACTTAGCTGTACAGCAATTGTCTTGGGAGCTTTTATCAATGAGACACTATGAAACATTCGGCCATGGCAAGACACAAATGAAGCATCCAAGCTCTCCTGTTTCCTTATACCCTATGCCACCAGCCCCCAGCCCCACTCTCAGGAAAAGACTAAACCTTTTACCTCTGCAATATGCTCAGCCCTTCCTGATCAAGGCTGAGGCATTCCAGGCTGCTACTGATCTTTGGGCTGGCAGGGCAAACCCTTTGCTTTGGTTATTCACACCATATAGCCACGAACTCGAGGGAGACACTATGTCAATTTCACAGACTACAACTACAGATGTTTAAAAGAATACTGTCAAGATTTTTTGTTCAAACTGACCTTCCTTACAGGGGAAGTCCCCTGAGCACCAAATATCTATTTTTCAATAAAAATTAAGAGTTAAAGTCTCGCATTCCTTCCCCTCTCTGCTTTGTCTATTTTGAGGTCTGGTCAGTATGTAACTTCACTCACATAAGCAGACCCAAGCATATGTTGGGTCACAGATCCATCTGCTTACATACATAATGTGTCAAGCACACCTATGGTACCAACAGTAACAACTCCATCGCCAAGGAATTCATTTAAAAAAAAAATCCAGTCACAACACTTAATCATTTTGCAGAGTGCGCAAGGATACCATTTTGTTGTCAATGAAGGGATAAGGAGGAGGGAGCTAGCCAACTCAGCACTGAACCAGGAGGCTCAGGAGACCAGGATTCAATTCCATATTCAGCCACAGATGTCCTGTGTGACCTTGGGCAAGTCACTTAGCCTCTCTGGGTCTAATCCCCATTTTACAGATGGGAATCAAAACACTCTCCGACCTCAGAAGAGGTGTTGTAAGGATAAAGATCATGAATGACTGTGACGCGCTCAGTTACTACGGTTATGAGGGCCACGTGAGTACCTACACAGGCATGTTGCCCTAACTGGTGCCACAGTAGCAAATTCCATTAGTCGCATTTTGAAAGCTTATTCTCATTTGGAAGATGCTATACTGTGTTGAGAGATATTTCCTGTACTTAAAATGGGGGATACTGCTAGAATCAGAAATCGCTCTCGAGGTGGAAGAAACCGCAAGTTCACTTGCTGAGCAAAGTATCTTCCTAGAGAGGTGTAACAGACAATACTTGTATACAAACATGTCTGGAGCCTAACAATGTAGTTTAATGAAAACATTCGTGTTAGTTTCAGCTCTTAAGATTTTGTTTTGATGTAAAAAGGTGACAACTGGGCATGGGACTTGATCTTTAAACTTCTAATAAAAAAAGAAAAAAAAGACTTGACAATGTTATTTTAGAATAGTTGTTTGGTACAAGCCAGACATGCCTTATTCATTTCACATGATTTTTCTTGACATTTCAGCTAGCGTAGAGAAATCAAGACTCCTTTTAATAAAAAAATGCTTCCTCCCTACAACTGCTGTTCTTTCACACACACCTCTGTTGAATCGCAACTCCAGCCCCCATTGTGTTTCATAGTCAAATGCACCGTGGTACACAGGTTATTACAAGTAGCCGTGCAAGGTCATTTTACCCAAAGGCTGCTCTGTTTTATACAGCAGGGGTTCTCAAACCTTTCCATGGAGCAACTATTCTCAAAAGAGAGTGGCTCACTGACCCCCATCCCCTTCTATGGGCACCTGCTGAACAACACCCCGGTGGCAGCTACAGCAGTTGCTTATGTGGCAGCGTAAAGTACTTAATGTAATTTTACCCTCTTTTAATCCAATTTAGCAGCTGGAAATTACGAGACTCAGTTCCATGTGACCAACCAGCTCACCAGAGACCACCAGCAAGTGCTCCACAGTCTTCAGTTTGAGGCCTCTATTTCATGGTGTAATCATAGCATCACAAAGTTAATAATCTCTGAAATACAACCACATTTGACATACTTTGCTCGTCTCTTTCTTCCATTCCTTCGAGAAGTATTTGCTAAGCTTCTGCTCCAGGTCCATAAATACATATTCATTGTCTGAAAGAGAGAGAGAAGGGGGTACTGGTAGGAAACGGAGGCTGTTTCAGAAATCGAAATTCCCATCTGACAATTACTTGGAAGACTATGAAAACTATCTCCAACAGTGCACGTGAATTATAGTAAATGTAACCCCAGAGCAGGACTAGATAGGCACCAGCAAGGGAGGTGGTAGGAAATGGGACTTTGCTCTCCAGCTGTACACTGCTGGGGACATGGGCTTGGAAGGAAGCTCATAAATAGGCCTGAACCCTATAGGTGCTGCGCAGTAGTGGAGGTTTCTCAGCATCTTGCACAATCAAGCCCAATACTCGCTTCTTGAGGTGAACCCATTATGGAAGGGAGAAATGCCAGCTTGTTGAGCTAACCTTACCGTCAAATTAATAGAGGAATACTGTCCTTAAAGGAAACTTTCAGCAACCTCCCTTCTTACCAGAGCTGGTATGTTATATACCATCCACACTTAGTATCCCCTTCCTGTCCCCAAGTGTGCTGAACAGATTACAGGAGGACAACCATGGAAGACCTAGGCCTCCGGCAGGGTTGAAACACTGTTAGCTGGCCATGGCTACTAAGAGTTATAGCCACATTGCATCCATACACAAGCCATGTTTGGAGGTCAACCATAATGGAAACCGGTTACAGACATTGTTAAGACTTTTAGCCTGGACAAGGCATAAAACAGCAGCTGAGATAAACCCCACAAGAAGCCATAATTTCAGAGTACCTATAACCTGGGTCACAACTTAATCCTATTGGTCAGGTTAGGGCAATACAGACAACTATGTTCAGTTGATAATTAATATGTTTTTCTGAACAGCATACGTGATATTTTAAGTACATGCGTCCAACTTCAAAATTTCATAAACAGCCTGAACAAGTGACCTCCCCCACTGTCCCCTCCCCTTCTTGTTTCTCCCCCCTCATCTCAGTGTAGCCTGGAATCCTGGCAGTCCTCCCCTCAGTCCAGGAATGCAGCATCACATTCCTGCTTAATTAAGTTAATACTATCGGAATGCCAACCTGCAGTATAATCCTCAGTCTACAAAAACAAAGGCTCCCCCAACCCATAAGTTTTTTTTGTATTTTTTTTTTTTAAACTGGATTAGTTGTGAAGTTTACAGATCTTTGTCAGATGTTTAAATCGCCTCTGGTTTGGATGCAATCTCTGTTCAGCAGAGATGTGGGCACTGAACTCTACCCATTTAAGAACAGAACTGGAAAGAATTGCTTAGAAATTCACAGTTTCTCCATTTCAGGTGAAATCTAATAGAATTCACTATACACACAGGCTAGATACACCAACTGACAAAGCGGTCATAGCTCCACTGACTTCAGTTGAGCTATGACAATTTACACAAGTCAGGATTTGGCCGCCACAAGGATGCATGTGCATGCACATATGCGCCAGCTCCTCTTAGGATAAGTCTACGCTACGACCTACAGGCAGGATTCCTCTGCTCACGTACACATACTTGCGGTAGCTCGATGAGTTTGCGTAAGTATAAAGAGCAGCGTAGCAACAATAGCACGGGTACTGGCATGGCTGAGCCATATCGAGAACAAACTGACCGTGAAGTTCCCACAGAACTACCGTGAGTGTGTGTACACCAGCAGGGGAAATCCAATCCCTAGCTTGTAGTGTAGGCATAGCATGAAGCACAAGTGAAGAATCGCTAGTTAGTAGTTTGCACTTTACCAGTGCAGTAATTCCAAGAAATCCATCTGTTGCCCCAGATAGTTTGTAGCAGTGCAGTTTGTTTAAGCTTTCCTCCCACAACCAACCTTTAAAAACTCTATGAAATTAAGTGAGGAAAAAATGAATTGGAATGTAAAGATTTCACGTCACATTTAAAAAAAAAGAGAAACAGGAAATGCAAACATTAACTTGGCATATTGCACATCCTGTGTATTTAAAGATTTATCACCACAAAAATGGGCCAGATCCTCAGATGGCATAAACTGGTATAGCGCCACAGAAGTCAATGGAGCTATGCCAAATTTACACCAGCTACACATCTGACCCAATATGTATTCAATTAGACATTTATCAAGGAAAACTGGAATAGAAAATACCGCATGTATTCAAATGTGATGGAGTTAGTACTATTGTAGGAGTCTTGACTTTTACATTTCCTGACTGTCTCTATTTTAATTTTACTTTTATTACTACAGTCTCCTCACAGAGCAGGATGGTAATACAGTGCTCAGTGTTCATATTCTGCTATCCCTATAGGGACAATTCTTGCACTGATGCCTCTGAAGAATTCCACACATCAGGAGAGCAAAATACCAGCAAAATACTAAAAGTGAGAACTTTGTTCGAACTGGCAACCATAAATGGCTCATTAATTAATCTGGTTGTATTAAGTATATTTTAATATTAGGATGACACAGACATTCCGGAGATTAGGATGGAGATAAATGTGAACGGATGGGAGCACAAAGTTCCATGCACAGCAAGCAATTTAAGCAGGGCACAGTCCTTTCCCACATCACTTTTTAACTACTGTACTCTCAGTCTTGCTAGCCAGACCATTGGATGGAGAAAAACCTCCCATTAGATGTACTCTTTTGGAGTTGCTGGGAAAACAGCCCAGAACATGGAAAAAGAAACCAGAGACCTGTTGGAACTGGGGGTTATTAAGCAGTCAAACGGTCCATGGACCTCACCCCCATGGTGCTGGTACCCAAGGAGAACAGGTGGATCAGATTCTGTGTGGATTATAGAAAGCTGAATGACAGAGTGTCTGATGTGCCCCATGCTTAGGGCCGATAAGATTCTAGACAAGTTGGGGGCGGGGGAGCGGCACATATCACCTTTACCATGATGGACCTCAGTTACTGGCAAGGGTCTTTGGACCAGGATTAAGGCTAAAATTAAGTCTGCTTTCACTACCCCAACAGGACTTGGTTTTACCTTTGGGCTTAAATGGTGCCCCAGCCACCTTTCAGCATCTGCAGATCAGCTGAGGAGGGGAATGGCAGGATTTGCCCTGGTATACATTGATGACATTTCTACTTTTTAAAGTAAGATCTGGCAGAACAGATACCCCAAGTCAGGACGATGCTCAACTGCATTCGATAGGTGGGACTGCCTGTAAAGGTGGAGAAGCGTAAAGTGGGGGTGGGCTGAGGTGGTTTATCTAGGACACAAGATGGGCAGTAGTCACACAAAGGGCTTGGCTACACTCGGGACTTCACAGCGCTGTGAAGCGCGAGTGTAGTCGCGCCGCCAGCGCTGCGAGAGAGAGCTCTCGCAGCGCTGTATGTACTCCACCTCTCTGAGGGGCAAGAGCGTGCAGCGCTGCAGGCACTGATTACACTGGTGCTTTACAGCACTGTACTCGCTGCGCTCAGGGGGGTGTTTTTTCACACCCCTGAGCGCAGCAAGTTGCAGCGCTGTACAGCGCCAGTGTAGCCAAAGCCAAAGCCAGAATCTGCAAAGGTGGCGGCTCTTAAGGACTGGAGCCTGGGGTATTACAGGAGATTTGTACCTCACTTTTAGCTCCCTAGTAGCTCCTATTCCTGTATAAGAAGGGCAAACCAGACAGAATCATCTGGATTGAACAGCATTTTAAAAAGGCTCTCTGTGCACTGAAGGATGCCCTGAGCCGGGATCCAGTTCTGGTAAGCCCAGTTTTAACAAATCCTTCACGGTCTTCACGGATTCCTCAGACACAGGACGGGGTACTGTGTTGGTGCAAATCAATGCTAAGCGAGACACACACACACACACACACACACACACACACACACCCCTGTATATCTGAGCAAAAAACTGCTTCCCAGGAAAAGAGCTGTGTGACTATTGAAAAGGAGCGTCTTGCAAATGTGTGGGTATTCAGGAAGTTGCAACCATCTCTGTGGGAGGCACTTTACTGTGTAAAGCAGGGGTCGGCAACCTTTCAGAAGTGGTGTGCCAAGTCTTCATTTGTTCACTCTAATTTAAGGTTTCGTGTGCCAGTAATACATTTTAACGTTTTTAGAAGGTCTCTGTTATTTGATCCCATATCTGAGTATTGTGTTCCCGTTGACAGTTAAATACTACTTCGTTTTTGAAAAGACTGCACTGTTTTCTGGTTACAAAGCTCCTAAGAGGAGAAGAATCCTGCAAGGTGCCAAGCCAAACTGGCCCTGCTGAAGGAGTCACAGCATGACACAGGGGTGCTGAAGTCTAGGGACCCCATCTGAGAGCATCAGTCACGGAACTGAGCCGGGAGTGAAGTGGAGGCTCAGGGCCTGTCACTTAGGAAGGATGCACTCAAGAGACTGCAGAAGGAATAAGGCCCAGCACACGGTATGATCCGTGGCAGAAGAGCAATGTGTCCTAGCCACATTCTAATGCAGCACCCTGTTGGTCTGCACCATTGTTGTGCTTTGTTTCGATGGGGAAGGAGATTAGTCTAACTGGTGCAAAGTTCATTTCTTCAAAGTGAATTGAGTCGTTTTCTATTTTAGGTTCTCTTCCTTTTAATAAAAATATAGACCACACAAAACCAAAAGAGGTGAAAAATCCTATCCTCATTAGGAAAATCTTCCAAAGCCTGAACGCAGTTTCTCTTTCAGCAGTTGAGGGCAGCAGTAAGGTTGAAAGTGGTGCAAGGAGCTGCATCCTTACAGTCCATTAGATAGTGAGACCATTAAATCCAGAAAAGAAACCTCAACATCCAGAACTCAGAGTTTACAACGAAGCTAAAAACCATAAATGATATTTAACAAAACTTTTGTTATTTTAAACTCTCCCCACACTGGGATATGAAGCTTCTGTTTTTAAACTGAAACCTTTTCAAAAACATTTCAGAACTCCTTATGGAGCTGCTGACACACACCTCCCCTTTACTATAAGAACTAATGTGTGTTCATGTATCTGCACAACACATATAGGTCAAGGGGATTTGTAATCCAAGTAATCTGTGCAGTGTGCATTTTTCATGCTTCTATAGAAATCCCTTGGTTTCCTTCTCCTGTCTTTTTGATGTGCCCAAGAAGAAAAGTGC